TTTTTGAAAATATGGTCGTTAATGTTTCCATGGCACACTGAAACCCTGTGGGTGAGATAGATTTTTCCATCACTTCAAACCTTTGAGGTAAACGATGTCATGCAAAGCAGCACAGCAGCTGAGATCATTTAGACTTTCTAGTCCAGCCAAATAGACTTTGACGCCATCACTAATACCATTGTTCAGAAATATTGCCAGATTTATTTTTCTACTTTGAGTGGTGTGATATAATATAATATAATATAATATAATATAATATAATATAATATAATATAATATAATATAATATAATATAATATAATATAATATAATATAATATAATTCCCTGACAGCAACATAGTGCCGGCCCATATCTGGTACATATGGATTCCACTATGTTGCTGTCTGGGAATTTTTGACGGTTATTTTCGTCAGTAACGGCTCGCTAGATCAAGCATTCTGCCCGCTTTGAATCAGACGATGAATTTGAATTTGAATGAATGAATTATAGCATTAAAGATTGCCCGCTTGATATACCCCAAATGTAAGAGCCAGAGGCAAATTCCCGAAGGACTGGCCGAGATGACGCTGTTCTATGAGGGTACATGAGCGCTGAACGGCTGGTGACGGCCTGTGTAAAATTGTAAACAAATTGTAAAATAGGAACTATATTCATATATGAGTCACATATTTGAGGTCTAAATAACTACATTCTCGCCTAAAAAACTGTTAAAACTACATTCCGTGACACAATAACAGTGGTATTTGTAAAAAAAAAAAAAATTACACAAATGCTGGATATGCTCAACCGCCATGACAGTAGTGATTAAAACAGTGAAATGGCTCCTGTCCTGATACTGATGGAATATCGCACGGCTGGAAAAGGCTCTCAGCCAATCAAGAACCAAAGAGAACTGTTGTATAAAATATAATATAATATATTCATTCATAAACAAATGTTTACATTTAGCAAAAGCCAAATATCAGGTGGCATGTTTTAGTATTAAATACCAATTTAAATGAAGCTAAAACCAAAAGGTTTTCCCAAAATATGAGTAACAACCCCTGAATCTGTGTCTGATTAATTATTATTAAACATGTTGAATAAATATTCAATAGTACTTTTTCTGTACTTTAATGCCTAGAAAAATGCATCATAATTCAAAAAGAGAATTCTGCATTATGGCACAGAGACATCCTCTTTGATCATTCATTTCTAGCAAGATCTGAATGTAATTCTATGGAGGTTTCCCCCCCTCTATGTATTTCCTGAATACAGAACCATGGATTTAATAGTTCACTGCTCACAAAGTTGGATTGGCATCATAACATTTGGCCGCTGCGGTGTTCACGATTAAATCAAGAGCTGTGGTAGCGGACCACTGAGTTCAGATTGGACTTTTCTTGCTCAGTGCCAATCAAACTGAAAGGCTCAATGCTCAGAGCGTCTGCATGTGACATTGGAATGTATGTCAAGTGATTTAACTTCACAAGATCCTCTCATTAATGCATATTATGATCTCGCCCTTCCGCCACAAGTCACCTCCAATTATAGCACACACTGAGCGCTCATTAATGGAAATTACTATTAGTCCCATTTCCCACAAGTCGATCAGGTTGACGATCAAAGGTTCTCACTAATGTGAATTCATGCAAACAGTAGATGATTTTTAAATATGTAACCCTAATAAAAGTCTAACTTAATAGCAGAAAAACAGCTCATCAACAAAACCATAACTAGTACAAATACCGGTACACTGCCCGGCCACAAAAAAAAGTCGCTGTTTTGAATTTAAATAGTCAATGATTGGAACATTATTGCTGTGATTATTATGTTTCTAGCATGTTATATGTTTAGCAACAGTTCTTCTAACCCTAATTGACGGGGTTAAACAACCATGTAGGAAGACACATCACAGCCATATTCCAGGATGACGAAGCCAAGATTCTTCAGGCTCAAATTGTGAAAGAATGGAAAGAAGAAATGAAGAATCATGTTCACGCATGAATTGGCACAGACCTTAAATTCATTGAAAGTCTTTGGGATGTGCTTGGAGGAGACTTTACAGAGTGCTGGACTTTTGCATTGTCAATACAAGATCTTGACCAAAAATGTATGCACCTCTTGATGGAAATAATTGTGAGGTCATTGAGGAATGCAAGAGTCGAAATAAAGAGGTAATCTTCCAACATAAGTGATCAATACTCTTTAATGTCCGTATCCTTCACACAATACCACATCACAAAAAACACTACACTACTAACATCCAACATTAGCTTCATCCTTCAGTGTTTTCTCTGCTGCTTCATTAGCAGTCTCCTCACATCTGATGCTGCCATGGTAAACACAGGCTTTCCTGGAAGTCCAGCCCCCACCAGCCTCCACCCAATAACACTCTCTCTCTCTCTCTCTCACACACACTAATACAGATGCTCACCTCCTCCCAGAGCCCTATTGTAATCCCTCTGTGACGTTGTACTTTTACACACTGACACATCGTAGGTCATTTCCTACGTTTTCAGTCCCACTGGGATGTCTGGATTTAATATGAGGCCTGGCGGTCCACCCAGCTCAGAGTGCGAGGGCCTCTGTTGCATGTGAGTCACTGTGATAGAGCTATGAGATCACAGTCTGACCACAACATGTGGACACAACACGGCTTCAGAGCTCACGGATAACGCTCTGCGGTGTCGTGCATGTATAAAGTTATATTGCATTCCTCTCATATATATTGCTGTTTCCACTCATAAAACAGCCAAAGTCTGCCATGCTGTGATTCAAGACGCACAATCATGATTATGATTATACATACCCTTATGATGAGATCAGAATGGCTTTTTGAATTAGGTTCAGTGAGTATTTGGAAAAAAGTTACATCTCTTTTAAAGTTACTAAAACTAGAAAGCCGAAATTACAATGATAATGTTATGCTATAATAATCTTAATATTATTAATAGAATGAACCTATAATAATACTGGTCCAAAGATTACCGCAATTTATTCAAATTTATCCTGTTTTGTTTGTGTTTGGATAATTAATCCCACTGGTAACATTTGTGGCCAGATTTTACTTCTGAAATATACTTCATTTGTACATTTACTCTGTAAGATGATGTCTGTGTCCAAACTCCAATAAGGAAGCATGTAAAACATGTCATAATACAGTCTCTCACTCTCACACACACACCCTCTCCCTCTCTCTCTATATATATAACACACACATATATATTAATGATGTGTATATATAAAGAACGTGTCAGTGGTTACAACTACTCCATGTGGGAAAATACGTTTTTTATATATATATATTTTATTTTGAATAAATAATTTAAAATATTGATTCACATGATTCAAAGTGCAGTAAATGTGCATTTATTCTAGAATTTCCCTTTCCAATAGCCCCCACAAAACTTTTTATTTATTAAATAAAACATTTAGCTAGTCTTTAACTACCATGTACTTACATTAAATTATTGTTAGCTATACAATGCACTTATTGTGTTCATGTTGTATTGCAAAACACTTTAGCTCCTAGGATAGGGGCAAGATTAGGGACAGGTTGGTTTGGTGCTAAGGGTGGGTTAAGGTGTAAGGGAAGGGTAAACCATTATTATGACCCAGACCTGTTTTACTCTATCTTGTGTTGTTGGACTCTTATTTTGAAGTGTTTTTCTGTGTTCAGTTCCTGTTTCCCTTGTTGACTTGCCTGCCTTGATCCATATTTACCCTGATTGTTCCCAGGTCTTGTTTGCCAGACACCCCTTGTGAATAAATACCCCAGGGTTTCTCATGTTCTTTGTCTGGTGTTGTCCTTCTATAGATGTTTGTGCTTGTTGTCAGTTTAGTTTGCTTTCCTTGCCCATGTCTGGATTTATCAGTTTTGCCTGGATTTACTTTACGTTTGAATAAATGCTTGCTGAACCTTGATCCTACTCTCTCTCGTTCCTCTGAAACAGCCATCGTTACAACCATCTTCTTATAGGTGAAATTAATTAGATACATGCAGGGTTTTTTTTTATGCAAGTACAATGTAAAAAACATGTACACAATAAGTGCATTGTATTATTAATTATTAATTGCAATGTTAGTACAAAGTAGTTAAATACACTATATATAGAGTGGGATCAAAAAGGCATGCAGATGGTTTTATTGGACTCAAAGAGGAGAAAACAACTGCTCACATATCCAAGAATAATTTAAGAAATCTCAGTTTACCCACTGAACGTTTATTTCTATGATAGAGTTGCTACACTAAAAGACAACACTTGTGGGAAGCCACTGCCACTTAATGGCAGATCAAAATATTACAAGAACATGTCACATGACTAGAAGAAAAAAAATCTGGGGTCCCCAGTTTGTTTCACTATATTAGTAATAGTGAGGACATTGCATAGACTTCCATTGATTTTATATCAGTTTAATGATATTTTCTATCACTTTACCCAACTCCTACCCATCATAGAAACGTACAAAACACTAGATTAAACTTTTTTTTTTAACTGAGGACTCGCTAGTTGGTTGCCATAATATTTCACTATATAAACAAGGACACTTGACCCCCCCCCCCCTCCCCCCTCCCCTCCCCTATGTTTATTAATCCATTTCCCTCATGGGGACCGCTGGCTGGTCCCCACAATGTACTGTAGGTGATCTCAGGTTTTACAAGCTTTGTGGGGATATAGTAGCCTGGCTCCGCCCTCCTACAAATGAAATGTACGAGAGTCTGGTGGGACCAGGCTAGGGATATAGTCCCCACAATGTAATATACACCTGTACACACACACGGAGAGAGAATACCAGTCAAAAGTTGGTAAAAGTTTTTACTGTTTTTGAAAGGCAAGTTTGCATCAAAGTAAGAATAAAAAAAAAATTATATATTTTTTTAAATGATTACAAAAGAAGAATGCGTCTACAAAATAAAAGCCCATGTGTAATAAAAAGATTTATTTGAACTCATTGTCAAAAAAAAAAAAAAAGGTAAACAGGGAATTGCAGGAAAGAAATTCGAAAAAAGCAAAAATCATTTATGTCCATTTATTTATTCATGTATTAACATGTATAATAAAATGAAACGATTTGAAACTTGTAACAAAAATATAAGAAATTCTCCGTCCAGAGCTGTTACATTAAATACAATTTTAGCCCAAGTTCTTTCAGTCTTTGAGTCAATTTAGTGCTCTCTTCATTTGTCACATCGTCCTCGACACAACCGTATCACAATGCTTTAAACGTCATAATACACACAGCAAAGACTTAAAGAATTAAGTTATCACTGAACCTATTGTGTGTATTGATGATGTTACACAGGAAATCACAACATCATTACTGAATATATAACAATTGCTCTAGGCAGACAAAAAAACGTTTTTTTTTTTTTTTTCCTAACCTGTTGCTACTGTATGTGATGGAACGAAAAATCCAACACATAAAAAACACTGCTTTTGTTCATCATAGTCAGCGTTAAAGTAAGCCATGAGTAATTACACCACAGTACATCCAAAAACATCAAGGCACGCACACTCTCACACATACTAACTTAAAGTAACACTTTAAAAGGCAAAAAGGAGACTAACAAAAGACGATTGCACAAACAAAAGTGCTCATACACACTCGCACGACATCTGAGGATGACCACTTACTTTAGACACTAGCAAAAAGATGCGCCTGTGAAGGGAAAAGCAAGTACTACTGCAGTGACCCAACAGCAAGACAGCACAAGGGAAAGAGAGAGAGGGTAGACCAGCTACAGGTTCACTATGTGTACAGCTGAGGTGAATGTAGGGAGTTCTCTCAGAATCCAGAGGGTGTAAGGACGTTCATGTCCCGGTGTTTGAGTTTGTGAGGTCGGGTCACCTGTCTCTTCCCCTCCATGGTGGGGATCTCCATCTTGGGGGGAGCTTTGAAGTTGGGGTCCTCGGCCAAGCGGGTGGCCTGAGCCTTCATCACTTCCATAGGGGTGGGTTTCTGAGCTCCCTTATAGGACTGCAGGGCAAAGCCCCCTGTAAACACACAGGAATGACGTTGGGTGTGCTGGTCCTTGAATTTGATTGGTCGAGCAGTGTTTAATACATATTGATGAAGGGACTTGGATAAACATAAGAAGCTGGCTGGTCTGAATGACGTAAAATGGCCCAGAAATGATGTGAATGATATACACTACTGTTCAAAACTTTGGGGTCGGTAAGACTTTTTCTGTTTTTGAAAGAAGTCTCTAATGCTCATTTAATCAGAAATAACAATTATACTGTGAAATAATATTACAATTTAAAATAACTTTTTCTATTTAAAGATGTTAGAAAATGTAATTCATTCCTGTGTTGGCAAAGCTGAATTTTCAGCATCATTACTCATGATTTGATGACTAGAGTTGCTGGCTGCTCAAGAAACTTTTCTAATTATCAGTCTTTTGTAACACCATAAACGTCTTTTCCGTCAGTTTTGTAAGGAATAATTGACGACAGGCCGTTGAATTATTAGAAAAATAATGCACACCCGAGGTGGTAATGCGGTCACGACGCGAAGCGGAGTGGCCGTTACACCTCGGGTGTGCATTATTTTTCTAATAATTTAACGGCCTGTCGTCAATTATTCCGCTTATACTACAGTTACCACACCTCGAAACATTGTTCAAATGATGTATTTCAAGACGTTTGTAAAGTTTTTGTCATTAAAACGCTCTTGTATGTAGGACTAATTTCTTGCGCATCTAATCCCATGCCTCCGTTGCTAATTCCAAAACGTCATTTTAGAGTTAGTAACGGAGGATTGAGCCACTGATAGCAGACTAAATGCTGGACACACTTAACGACTGGCTGAAAAACTCTCTGACTGTTTCCATCGGCTGCAGCAGATTTTACACACCGACTGTGAACACAGACTGAACGTGCTGAACACGCGTTTGGGCATGATCAATCATAACAAAGTATCAAATTACATTCATAACCGCCCTTACAATAAGTGTGTCCTCGGCTTTATGCAGTTATTAATGCAGTTATTAGAGAGAGAGAGAGAGAGAGAGAGAGAGAGAGAGAGAGAGAGAGAGAGAGAGAGAGAGAGAGAGAGAGAGAGAGAGAGAGAGAGAGAGAGAGAGAGAGAGAGAGAGAGAGAGAGAGAAGCATGTGCGTCAATATTATTATTTATTAATTAACTCAATTTGTTTTAATTAGTTCGTTCATGTTTTTTTTCTTCTAATATTGACAGTAGACTAGCCTAATAAATGAAACACAAAGTGCTATTAACAAGTATAGGCCTATCAATAATTATTTATTTGTTATAGCCTATTATCTGCATTAATTACGAAAACCCATGCAGCAGGACTATCAATGTATTTGGCCTATATTCAGTTTAATTTGATTGATTATAGATAGGACTATATGCTTTATTTATTAAAATTAAACTGCATGTTTCCATTGATTGTGAAGTTAGACATTGAAAATGGCAGATCAAGCGCATGGGCTGCATGTTTTTTCTTGTTATGAATTGTATTATATTTTCCGTTATGACAGTTGACTACGCAAAGTGATATGGAACGGTAATGTGGTCAAGACCTGCCTGGAACTACTTTAGCCGTGCGTTTCCCTGAAAATAATTGCACACCTTAGAACGTTCCTCAACCAATCAGATTCAAGCATTCAACGGGCCTGTAGTATAAGATTAATTTAATGCATCTTTGCAAAAATAAAATAAAAACTTTTGAACGGTAGTGTTATACCTCACATCTCACCTGAATAGATAGCTGGTTCCTCTTAACAAAATATATATTTATATAAAAAATATATATTTTGACTGAGAATTTTTCCTCGTCAAAACCCCATTCCACAGCCTGTCACACACCCAGTTTAAGAGCAGTTTTTTCTTCTTGTAATTAGGTGTTATAGTGAGTACATGCTTTACCTTCACAAATGAAATACGCAAAGAACATTTGCATTTAAAGAAAGGCCATTTTGAACTGCGTTTCTATTATTTACACACTTTATGAAATTTCAATGTTTTCAATCTAAGACTTGACTCTTTGTGATGTAGTCATACAAATAATTAACCATTTGCATAACTTTAACACAAGTTTTATTTCTCAAATAATAAAAGCCAACAGAGCTTTTGCCGCAAAGTGAGCTAATATAACAAACTATACATAATATAATAACTGTTTTTAACCTAGCCATTATAAATAAATAATATAATGTTATTTTTTAATTTGATCTATGTTGATTATATGAAAAGTGAACAGCATGAGCGGGGCCGTGCGCAGGATTTTATAAATACTGAGGTCCTTACTATAGTAATCCTGCTATGGGGGTTCGTGGACATAACGAACCCAAAAGAGGAATTTTTTTTATTTTCCTCATCTACACGTGTGCATTTTAAGGTGTTAACAGTAGCAGTGGGATTAATTATTTGTCAAGGAGATAACAGATTAATGCTGCAATGAATGATCCACACTACAAAATGGAAACGCAGATTGTTTATGCTTGACAAAACAAAAATCACATATTCAAACCGGGAATGGCCTTAAATTAGGAATGATTCAAGGATTATTTTGCATAGATGTTACATTTCAATCAAATGCCAATGCAATACTTCTGTGTCCACAGGCAAATGATCAATTTATATGAGCATCAAAGATTGGTTTCAGCAACTTGTTTTTGGACTAATCTGTTCATTTAATGGTTTAATTGTTCACTCATAAAGACAGTCACTTGTCGCCACCTACTGGCTTAATGATGCAAGTTGTGCAAACACTCCCAATGCTGATACTGGTGAAATATAACATATTCGAGGACCATATACAAATATTAATATTTATACAATACTACTATTATGGCATTATAATTAATAGGTACTTGTGTTGTTAAATTGAGCTTATATTTTCCACTGTAATTAGCAAAGAACATTTATGTGTTAAATAGGAATACATTGTAATAATGTTAATCTCATGGGCACAGTATGCAATACCAGCTCTTCCTCTCTCATCTCCATCACATTCTCTCTTCTTCTCAGTCTCCTAATCTTTACCTGTATATCTTATCTTCCCAAAGCTGAGCTTTGATTGATAGGCTTTGCAAACTGATTGTTTCTGTTACTCGTTTAAAGGGGTCATATAATGCCATTTTTGTACAAGCTAATATGATTCTTTAGAGTCTAAATTAAAACTTTGTAATATACTTTAATTAAAAATTCTCATTAGTATTGTAAGAAAACACTTATTTTACCTGGTCAAAAACAGCTCTGTTTTCAGCACGCCGTTTCAGTGCATATGACTTTAAATGATCATGAGCTTTGCTCACCCCGCCTCTCTGTTCTGTGTACACCGTTTGTAACACAATACCATAACGCGTTGTTCATTATAGATGTGGGATTATGAATTATATTGAGAACGTCGTACATAGAAAACATGCCGTAATGTACCCTGAGTGTAGCAACCTTAGACGCATTCATTGTGAAGCGTGCATCTAGCGATTTGCAAAGATTAATATAAATATTAAAGATTAATAAAACGATACACTCACTTCAGTTATTTTGGAGGTTCAGCAGGAACACGAATAGTTGGTACTTCTTAGCAAAACCAGCTTTATACTGACCCTCCTCGTTTATAAGCAGTCTGGTGTGTGAAATGATTCACGCAAATATGAAAGCATTGACGTTGCTCGTGGGGAATATTCCCTACGAAAACAAACTCAGCCACTGCGTCTTCAGCGGTTCGGATTTAGGAACATTAAAATGACTGCTGTGTTCGTTATTACACCCAAGAACAGAACACCACAATCGCTTAGACGCCATTCTGCTCATAGACAGTGCTCCAGCATATCAACAATGACCAGGCCGGTCCGGTCCGCGCCGCGCAGACTATGATTGACAGCTCGCTCCCTCACGAGCGAGGGCTGGTCTGTGTTGAAACCCGGCTGTCAATCAACAATCGTGGGAGGGGCGTCCGTTTTATTGACGTCACAAAAACGAACGGCTCAATTTGAGGCAGGGGAAAACATATAAGGAGATTAAAACAAAAACACTGGATGGATTTTTATCATTATATGATGTTTGTGTACAGGCACTGCCAACACACATTTCAGTACAATCAACTTGTAAAAGTGCATGTGCCATTATATGACCCCTTTAATACTTTTATCATAAACAGTTGTTTGGTTTAGCTACTTACATCTCGAAGGCCAGACTCACACAATATATGACCGTTAACTGAAAGCGTGTCGTGAAGCGTCACGCTGGAATTCGCGCTCGGCTCGCACCTTCTTTGAACATAAAGCCTACTTTGATTTGATTTGTTTCACCTTGCCTGGGAAAACAAGCGAGCGTTGCGGCGGCGTCGCTCTCTATTTGGGCACACTTTTCGCGCATATCATCATTTAAAATAACGAACGTGAGAGTGCAAAAATGCTTTATTCAATGCAATTATTTCATAACCTTCATTATTTGCACTTCGAAAAATTACCAAGGTCCTGACCTCGGGGACCTCAATGGTGGGTACGGCGCTGGGCATGAGTAAGATAGGATCATTAGTTGAGCAATATATCGGGAGACATATGGAGTGGGTCAGACATGATTTTGACCACTTCATTAAGTTTTGTTTTGTATAAAGCCTTTCTTTAAAGTGAATTTAATTTTGTATAAATTGTATCTTAATTTGAATCGATGTTTCATCAACCAATTGCCTAGATTTAATAAATGAGAAGCAAATATAGCAGACAATATAATCAGGACATGGAGGCGCCAGGCCGATATTGCATTGCACGTGAACTGAAACTCAGCGTATAGACTACTTCACAGGCATGATATAGATATATATATATATATATATATATATATATATATATATATATATATATATATATATATATATAAAGCTTGAAATGTCTACTTTTAAGGAAAAGAATTCAAAACGAATAGAAACTGACTACTCTCTTATGTAACCAGTATAAAATGTGCATTTCTCTCTATAGGCGCGTTCACTACATTTGGTCATTTTTCTGTAATTATATTTATTAAACGTGTAGAATACTTTCCAAACCGTTACATATAGTATTATAAATGTTACAAATAGTATTATAAATTCAGACGTTCATGATATAAAAAAATAAACATATTACATATTAGAATAACTTTTAAAATGGAGTGAACACGGAGCAGTTTTTCCGTGAGCGGGAATGGAAAACCCGGAGTGGATCCAGAGCGGAGTGATTACAGAACGCTTAGAGTGGAGAGAGGCACATGCTTTTACTCCACTCCAGGCTTTGATCACATCCCCCTCAGCAGGGTGAATACACCTCGTCTTTCCTTAATTTAAGACCTGTTCAAACTGAAATTAAGACATTTATTGCACTATTTCAGAAATGTAAGCATATTTACGGCCTTAAAATTATGAAAAGTGAATTTAAAACATAAGGACAGACGGGAACCCTGCAATTAAAGTTCTCCGTCGTAGCGACGGAGAACTTTAATCCCTGTCTTAATAAAAAATGCAAACAAAGCCCAGCAATGTTCAATAAATAGTTAAATCATTAAATAGTTAAATCATTAATAGTGATCAACATTCACATAAATAATTCTTCTGCCAAGTATATACATTTCATAAACTTAACTTTCAGCTATTTTCAGCTAACAAACAACCTGGCCTATTAATACTGATTTGAGATTATGTGCGTTTATGACTTATTCAATCTGTTTTTTAAATGAGCTTGAATTTTTTTCCAGCACATGTTATTTTCAATCAGTCTTTGAGGAGAGTGAAAACTCAAATGAGTAAACTGGAAGGTAATGTGAATAACAGATTTATTCTCATTCTTAGTAAGAGCCTGCCTGATGATAAAATTAAGATTTTACTGTAAATACTTCAAATTATGAGTAGATTGTAGATAGATTTACAAGGTTGGGAGCAATGTGCTGGATTGACAAAGATCTACAAAACCTAGCCTACTGTTATTATATTATTACTGTTATTATGATAACATGATCATATCTGATCAACTCATGCTGTTAGAATGAATTATTTGAACGCAAGTGGGGGTCTTTAGGGTGATTTTGATATTTAAAGAGTGTGCAGAAAGGTTTCTCTACATGTGAAGTACACAGTGTGGTTTACCTGTCATGGCTGAATCTGTACCTGGGTCAGTGGTGGACTTGTTGACTTGAGGCCGAGGTCCAAAAACACCCCAGCGCTCTACAGGTCCGTCACCTGAAGCCAGATCTATACTGGAGCTAGAGCTGGTGCTCATCTCAGAGCCTGTGAGAGATGCTGTGGAGCCTTGACTACTGAACCAGCCCCTGCCAAACACACACTCAAAATTACAACCCACAAATGATTAATGCAAAACAAAGGATGTGAAGCTGCTGACTCATACAGGCACCTGCGTTTCTGCTTGGGTGAGGATTGAGGGGTCCCGGAAGGCGTTGACTGATTAGATGAAGGCTGTTTCTCTTCTTTGGCATCCACACTTTGCATTTGAAGCTTCTACAACATCCAATACACACAATTTATGCTTTTAAAAAAAGACCTGTATTGGAGATGTCAGACCAAAATCTATCCTATAACATTTGGAGCTGATGTAAAGAGGATCTCTGCCTACATGCATTGACTCGGCCAGGCGATGGTATCGGGTCTCCTCTGCATTCAGGCCTTTGTGTGGAGTGTAGCCTGTATCGGTCAGTCCTGCCTGCTTCTCGAACCTGTGCATGCTCTCCTGGGTCTGCTCTGTAACGAAACACAACAGGTCCAATTAGGACTAAACTAAACTAAACTTTCCACTAAAGAGCAGTCAACACTGTGAAATATGATGCATGAGGCAACCATCGTAACATTCTTACTGATGATGAGGGAGTTCATGACAGACGAAGCTTTGGCTTTCACCACAGGGCCTGAAGGTTTAGTGGATTCAAAGGTAGCACTTTGTTTTACCCCTCCTTCTGACTCATCCTCCTAAACGTATACAGGAAGAATTGTTAGCATTAGTCTAACTGTGGTATTAGTCTTAAACTGTGGTATGGAGAATATATACAGTCATGTGAAAAAGAAAGTAAACCCTTTTGAATTCTATGGTTTATGTATCAGGACTAGGCCTGTACGATTAATCAATTAATTTATATTTGATCAATTAATTGAAAAAACGATTATTGTGCCGCTGCCATATTCAGTATTGCAATTTCATTCCTTCCTAAGCCACTAAACTTAACATCTAAATCAGCCGAATCAGTGAGTAAAATGCAGTCTACCATTGCAAAACTGTGTGACATGCCTGATATTAAACAGTGTCATTAGTGTATTAAGCTGTGATAGAGACACTGTTACCCAAGCAGCTTTCTGTGCCCGTGCTGCAAGATGGAGCAGAACACGTATTAAGCGAAGTATACTGTGGGCTTCAGATTCTAAAGGGTCAAATAACCTACACACAAAAATGCCAAAATGCAGTTTTGAAAAGTATCCTCTTAAACACTCGTTTATGTCTTAAATTGATGTAAACAGTTGAGAAAGAAAACGCATGTGTAACAGTATAATAGATCCGTGCAGCTATTAAAAGTGACAGCAACCCTATATTACTGCTTCGGTCTGTGTCGTTAATGAGAACAACAAAATACAAAGATAAAAATCCCTCACTGCTTTCAAATAAATACATTTTGTGGCTTTAATAAGGATTCATCTATATTTAATGCATACAGTGAAGACAGTGCAGTGTTATTTTATATTTGATTACTTTATTCAATTTCTGTTGTAGGCTATTATTTGCTTGAATACCATTGTTAGTACATCTTCCTGAAAAACTTAAAGCACTGTTTATTTAATTTGTATTTTTGTTCTGTTGTATTTATTTGTCCATTTTCTTTGATCTTATTGTATTGCTGACTGTTTACTTTTCCTCAGTAACTGTTTTGAGGATTAGTTTTTTTGCTAAAGTAGCCTATCGATAATTGTGAAATTTTACTGATATCTAAAATTACTCATATCATGAAATAAGACTTTGTTTATATTCGCCCACCAATAACCGTGATTTCAATATTAACCAAAATAATGTATATTCGTGATTATGATTTTTGCCATAATTGAGCAGCCCTAATCAAAACATAATAATAAAAAAACGTCTGGTCTTTACCAGAGGGCTGTTCCATAAAACAAGATCAGCATACAAGCCAGGCTTATTTTGGTTAGTCAGACTTCTTGTTGGTGGATTCTGTTTCATAAAGCAAACTTAAAATAGTTCAAACTCAGTTACTCTGGCAACATATGCTGGGAAACTAACCTGGTCCAGGGCAGGCTAACTGTCAGGCTAAGCCTGAGTTGTTACACCGTTCCTCTATCACTGACCAACAGGAACTCAATGATATTACCACTGATACTCTTGCATACCATTATTTTACTTTATTAACCACTATCAGTCCAAAAATAAAGATACAGTTTACAGAAAATCAACTTAAATAAGACAACAATGATAAATGATACAATATAGACCTACAAACGTGTTATTGTAATTATATTATATAGAAGACATGTGCGCACAAACGGTGCTGGTTCACGTTTAGAGCAGTAGAGTATATGAAATATGTCCATAAAAACTTGAAACGATCTTGCTCCAGTCAATATATGAACGATATGATCCGCGTTGTGAGCGTTGTTGAACTCCTCACGGAGTTCCACGCAGATGGCGCGGCGATGTTTTTTTTTTCAATTCTCCGCTGTAATGCGATCTCATGCGTAATACAGCGCAGGGATTGGATTGAACGAGCTCTTTCCCATGATTAAATGCAGAGTTTAGCTCGGGGCCAGCTGACGTAGAATCGCGCCTGCAGCCAGTCACATACTCCGAAGGGGCGCTTCTATCTCACATTCCGTGATGTTGCCTAGACTTTGCTTTTCAACCTGGAAGAACGAAATGGCTCGGGAAAACGCAAAAATAACCAATTTCCACTTATTGTTAACATTTATGAGTGCTTTTAGTGTTTTCTAGGGGTGTCCCCGACTAAGGATTTTCATAGTCGAATCAGATTCGTCAAGTCCTGCCTATAGTCGACTAATAGTCGAATTATGTGTGTGGTGTTGGGGAGGGGGCGGGGCTTTAACATTTTAAAGCCGCGATCTACAGAACATCACACAAAGATATAGAAGAAAATGTATAAAAACATTTCGGATCAATAAAACTAAGAAATAACATAAATAACTGCAGAAAGGCCACACTGCAGATAGGATTTGCATTTCACATGCAAATCAAATTAAATCGGCTGAATTGCCTGTACGAGCATGCTCTAAGTAAGCCTACAGCGCAACATCGATGCACTGAAAAATAATCAACAATTAAGAACACAATATACATTTATAATAAATAAAAATACAAAACAAAATAAGTCAGAATCAAGTCACAAGAAGCAGAACAAATGTGTGCAAAATGCCTAAAGTGCAGGGGAACAAATATTCAAAACACAAGTCACAAATAGTTAAATTAGATCACCCCGAGTGATCAATTAATAAAATAAAAATAAAAAAATTATTAAAATAACGAAAGTATGGCCCAGGATTGTCAACTTTGTCTTTTTAACTGCTGAAACAACAATAAACGCTAAACTGGAGCGGCAGTCTTTTTAGCTAAACGTGTTCACAGTATCCAAAAATCAAATTAGAACCGGCTGAAATGTTTTGAAATCACTTGTAGCTACCCATACCTGATCGAAAAAACAAAATCCAGTCTTTCACTCGGCCTGTGTCCGTTTGAGTCTTTTCAAATTGTGTGCACGGATAAAATACATTCTAACGCTTAACGTGAAAAACGTTTAACGGCTTTGTCCTAAAACTGTTATATTAAAAGATCAAATTCTGTACACACCTTATTAATAAAGCATAGTACTATATAGCCTACAGAAAAGCAGATGAGCCCAGAATATGAACGCAACGCGTTTTATTATAGGCTACGTTAAGCATTTTCCTCCCATAGAAAACCGTTAAAGAAAGAGCTTTACGTGACTTTCTATAGGAGAAACGCGTTGCGTTCATATTCTGGGTTCATCTGCTTATCTGCACATAGAATGGTTTCTTAAGGTGTGTAGCCTACTGTGTACACATTAAGCACGTAAAAGTGCCATTTAAGCGTTTTAGAACGTCCCGAGGAAAACCAACCTGTTAACGTTGGCCGGCAGAAGTGCGATCATGGTTTTCCTGATGCGAAATCCAGCCTTGGAGAATATCCTTTCTGATGGTGTGCATCTTTAGATTTTCTTATCCCAGACATTTTTAAAGATTTAAATCCCTGCCGACAAGACGCTCCTCTGTCGGTCACGGATCGAAAGTGAAACTTAAATCTGTCACGGGGTGTTTGGATTTATTCACGCTGCACGCACGTTACAAAATATTTATTAAAAGCTTCTTTCTTTGCACATTTTTATTGACAGCATTATCATAATAGGCTGTATATTAACGTATTGACAGAAAACCAGTAGTTCTATGTGAAATCAGACATTGAGCACACTCATATAGCCAAAATGACATAATCCTCATTAATAACACATCTGCGAAGATTCGACCGTGAGATTGGTAGTCGAATCAGGCTCCTCCTATCGAAGCATCGAATCTTCGACTATTCGGGGTCACCCCTAGTGTTTTCAGTGATGTGCAACCTGTATCTGTTCACATCTCAAAAAATGTGTTTTAGGGTTTCATGACCCTTTAAGGTCCTGCCACAGCATTTCAATCGGGTTGAGGTCTGGACTGTGCAAGTGCAAAACCTTGATTCTTTTCTTTTTCAGCTATTCTGGTGTAGATTTAATGGTGTGCTTAGGATCATTGTTCTATTGCATTAACCAATTGACCTATCGGTAAGCCCTTCCCTTAAAGGGATACTCCACCGTTTTTTCATATTAAACTATGTTATTCCCTTATGTTATTGGAATACCATAGCAAGTGCTTGGGAGCACTTCGACTCGCCGCATATATATCTATGGACTCGCGCAGTAATATCATCACTCGTGAAAAATCCTCTCCCCCCCCCCCGGAGTGATGATATTACTGCGCCGAGTCCATAGATATATATGCGCCGAGTCGAAGTGCTCCCAAGCACTTGCTATGGTATTCCGCCATACATTATAGTTATCCACTTTACACGCTTAGAAAAGCGCAACATCTTATTTTGTGTCACCATTCTTGGTCGAGTTACACTACTCGTGTATTTAAATAGGGAAAACGTGGAGGTGTTTGGTCGCTTCTCTGCTTCGATCCTAATGAATGAACTGGGCTAAACTAAGTGCTATCAAAGTTTCGCCACAAGACAGAGCGATTTAGTGCACGCACTGAGACCAGAGAGGTATGTATCAACTCGTCTTAGTTAAGGGAAAAACAGTTTAATATGAAAAAACGGTGGAGTATCCCTTTAAACACAGATGAGCCAATGGCAGCTGAGAATCAGTTGCAAAGGCACCGGAACTCGGACATCTTTAGGTTTCAGCGCCATAGAGAAACAGTGGAAGATCCGAAGCTCTCATCGGTTTGATGGTGTTTATGCTACAAAAATGGTAAAATGATGTGCCTGGGGTACATTTTACTCTCATTCCAGGCATCCTGAGAGGATGGGCAATGGAATTTATTTTATTACATTTCCTAAACCCAAACAAGACAGAGCAAAATGTCTGCTTTGGATTAAGCCGTGTATTAATCCAATGACGTGGTCACAGTAACCTGGTTCCCTAAGGATTCAACCCCAATCCCAATGAGGACAAAAACATTCATTTTCTGGTTGTCATACTCTCATTAAAGTTACAATTAAAGTCAGTTATGCTGCCATGCTAACGCACAAATCTAATAGGTAACTGTCCTCACGTCAAGTACAGTGCAAGTCAAAAACACAAACGAAGGTCTGCATTTCAGCACCTCTCCATATTAAACTGGTTAACTGTAAATTAATTTAATCTTACCCTGTGGTACATGAACAGTGTTGATCTCCCGCT